TGCAGCTCGAAGCAGCCGGCTTATTAATCTCCACTCAGTCAACAATTTTCGTGATAAATAAATAAATAATTTTAAATCATTTAACATCATGACTACTGAAAATAATTAGACAGATTTAAGTACTTATTCTTATTCAGTCTAATAATCTGATCTCTGATTTTCTCCAAGGTTTCATGCATACTTAAGCCCGTAAACTGTCGCAAAACAAATCCGTTGGCTAATGAAATGGGCTATCAAGTTAACATTATTAAGAAAATCGTTTCAATTATTTTCTTTCATAACAAAAGTAATAAGTTAATGGAAACCAGTAACCAGTGGATAGTCATGTATCATTAGTCCTGTCAGCCGAATACAATTCATTATTCAGCTGCAATGTAGAACTTCATACGTACGTACATCAGTCCAATATACCATACCATATTAGCACAGAGAGATCGAATTGTCAATTCAACCCCCATAGTAGGAGATGTATTAGAAGTATTAGCGGTAATCAGAAAGTTTAGGGTTCGAAGGTGAGTTCAAATCTGTAATTCAGGAGTTGAAACCCAGCAAAGTTAGTTGAAAAATAATTATCTCTTGAGACAATCTTATCATCGTTAATATCCAACTAAAAATACTATCAGTTAGCTTGTTGTTAATAGATAACTTTATTAAAATTATTATGAATATTCTTAACTAATCAGCATTACCAATATGAGTTAAAAGTAATGACAAATTATTTTTAAGTACAAAGTGCTTCAATTTCCGTATAGCCAAGGGAAGGCGACCTCATAAGAAAACCAGCTGTTTCAATTTGGACACCGGGGTAGAATCCCAGCCCACACACAAATTTAATGATCTCGATGATTCTTTGTAAAGATGTTTATGTATTTCAATCAAATAATAATACCGAAAACTTCAATAAACGTTAGTATACGCCATTAAACACTTGTACAACACCACAAAGGTTGACTTATACCAGCAGTGCTCATAAAGGATTGACCAATGAAACACCATCAATCTGTCGAAAATGCTCCTCTTCATAAGTAATTTTCACGTCGTCAGCTCATAATAATAATGATAAATCTTGAAGAACTTTTACAGGAAATAGCTATGGAAGAGATTTGATCATACGAAATATCAATTGTCTTCTCAAGAGATACGTTCGTAAACAAAGTGTTAATATCAAAGGGTTACATTGTCTTTGTTTTTATTAATAATATTCATTCAGCGATTAATTAGTTAATTTCAATGAATCTTTCAAAAAATACTTACAAATTTAGTTTTGAATAGAAGTCAATACTTTTTTCAGTTGTTTTATAATATTTTACAAAGGTAACCAACACACGGATAGAATTGAAATGCCCAAAAATTCCTAAACCCAATATCCCCTTACGTCTAATCGTAATAGTAACCGAACACACTTTTAATTGGCTACGAAAACGGACGAGTTCTAATGGTCAAATGAGATCACAAAATAGACAAGTACCTTCTTTCATTGCGAAATATTTGGTTGAGATCAAATCAACCTTTATGGTGTTATACAAGTGTTTAATGGCATATACTAAGGTTTAGTGAGATAACTAATGCCTAAAATCAATATTCATGTTAAAACTTCACTTGAATAATACCAGTGTTTTATGATTACCACAAAACTACATTGTATGCAATCAAGCTAATAAAAATTCATTCACTTCATATCTAATGCTAGTTGTACATTCAATTTTTACATTCTCTCTATGGTGTATTTGTAGGTATTCAGTCAATGAATTCTACATTTATTCAAAATTATTTAATTGCTATTGATGAAGAAAAAGATCCACAAATTTTACATCTGATTTTTCAAATGAATATCATTCTTATTAAAGAGTTTCCTTCAGGTAAATAGTCAAATTTACTCAATTAATTATTCAATAATTTATTTTGTATGATAATATTCGTTTTTTATTTGTATGTGTGAGTACAAATTTTAACTTCAATCACAGCTGAATTGTAATTGTGTTCAATTCACTCTTAATACTGATAAGTTCGTCACTTAGTATGCTTGAGGCTATTACGAGTTTACCTTAGTCGATAAACGCGAACGAGACTTTCACCAGCTTCCAGGGAGGCTACCTTGAATCCGAGGCTGAAGTGAAAAGTCTTTGTAAGCGTAGAATGTATATTCTACAAACACCCAGCAATCACAGTACAATCAAGCATACAACTCTCGTTTATTTATACAACATATGAACGTCCTTGAGATAGTTAAGAAAATAGCATACTAAAATACACAGCAGCCAATCACATCCATGGATTTTCCTGGTGGGAATTGAAATCTCTAGGTCATCTGATCAGCCCATGCTGGCAAAACGTGAAAACCAAAATACGGCATTATCAAGCGAATTTTGGGGATCTAACATCCCCAACAAATACCTTTACTACTGTGGGATTCTGTTTGACAATTGCATCTCTGTGCTAATGTGATTCGTCACTTTGAACTGCTGTGCGTATGTACGTGCGAAGTTTTACGTTGTAACTGACTGACTAACTGACTTAATTTACTTGAATTCGCTATCGCTGCACATTAATTGTGTCAGGCCAGTAATTATTAGACAAATCATTTATGATTTTTATTATAAAGTTGTAAATGTTGTTGAATTTCATTGAAATCATAAATCGATCATTGTTTGACCACCATTACAAACCTAGAAACACTAGACGACCGTTTCATCTTAGTATGAGACACCGTTGGATGCCGGGTCAATAGTATAAAGGTTAAGCGTTCACGTGCGAAACCAAAGGTCCAGGGTTCGATTCCCACTAGTGGGGGTCGTAAATGTGCACTGCTGATGTGTCCCATATTAGGAGGAGACGGCCATTCAATGCTTTCAGGTTTTTAATGATTGACTAACAATAGTTGACTCATAAATTCAATAATTCATTATGAGTATGACAGTGTGATTCCATGTCGCTTCTTACGAATGACAAACTTGTTATAGTTCTGAATACTAGTCAATCTACAAAGTAAATTGGTTTGTTTATATATATTCCATAAGAAAAATGAAATCTTTTTTGTTTAACAAAAAGTACGGGATCGTGCAGTAGGATTTTTTAATAATAAAGGAAAATTTGTTTGATTTGTGTTTGTATGACCATTCACCTCAATCGATTTGACTAGTCTGACCGAGTAAGCAATAGCTCACATAAGATGAATTTATCGAATTCAGACCCTCCGACAGACGGACAGCAAAAGATCAGATTATTAACAACTTTCAGACACTAGGTTATTATTTCAAACCTTACTCCAACTACTATGGTAATGACAATCCCTCACAGTTATGATTGAGTTTGGCTTCAAACAATAAACTTATATATAAAGTGTTCATTACAGACTAAACATGAATATAACAAATTAAATTGTATCTCATTGTAAGATTCTTATTTGTGTAGGTCATTAACTCTAAGCTATGAAAATATAACCTGATTGTCAAAGTTTACGTATTTTCAACTTAAAGGGGATGTGCGAAGGGTGAGACGTGGAGATAAGAGAGATGTCAGGGGGCGTAGAAAGAATTTGATTGTGGCCAGTTTGATCTCGTGTGTTGGTACGGGTATGAGGGCAGATGTCACTTCCCGGCTGCCTGTCCACACCGTGGAAGGATGTTTCTTGAAGAACCTGAAAAGGAAGGTAGATTAGAGTTGGTCTTAACGACCTGGGAGTGTGACCACAGAGCCCAAGGGACAACACCTTGAAGCCGGTCACGCACGGCCTTTTTATGAGAGGTTTTTAGAGTATTAGCTCCGCTTTCGCTCAAAAGCCCTTACCTCCGGAGACGGAAATCCGTGAGGTAGGGAGAGGTGTGACATTTTTAAGGTCGACCTTTTCTAACCCTTCCTTCCTTGTGAGATGGCAGCATCGCTGCAGATGCTAGTTGTCCGAGGGAAACATATCTCTACAAACAACATTACCACTTCGCCGTCAGACCTTGAGTATCTGCTTTTAGTCTCATCATCAGCATTGGTCAGCTGAGCAGTGTACATTCACGACCCCAAATGAGAGAATCGAACCCAAAACCGTGGACCTCATAATTTCAATAAAACTCGAAAATCTTCACAACCTTATACTGATATATATACGTAATTGTTATTGTTAATTTATTTTCTATCCATTCTTAACTAGTAATGCAGTTTAAAGATGAATTATTCGATACAATATCAGTTTATTTTCCGATCGACTTTTCACCGGTATGTTTTATTTCTGTACTTTAATTATTAATACAATTTGTCTATTGTGTATCATTGAAAATGGATTTTTAAAAAAATATTTCAACAAAGAAAATTCATTTTTTGATGATGATGATGCTGTATAAAATATTAATAAGTAAATAACACATTGACATTGGATTATTTATTTGTTTTGTGAAGTTCTAAGTGTTTAATTCACTTTCTTATGACATGTTGACTAGTAAAGATTATTTAATACTTTACTAAGTAAATCAATGTTTAGCTTTATGTATTCACTCCATAAAGTTTACAGAGGCATTACAAGTGATCAATAAATGGAGTTGATGTTAGTAGTTAAAAGGTAATCGGTAAAAATCGAACTGTTTGACCCAGATTTCATACCCGTAGTAAACACTCATCAGCAAGGCATACTGGAAGTATTAACAGAACTAATCAACAGAATTAAATCAGCATTAATGATTCAATAAATATGATATTATTCACTACTAATTGATCAATCAAAGTACACAACGTTTGTGTTAATATGTGATATAAGTTATTGAAAACTCAGTTTATGTAGAAATAGAAAATTTGCTTCAAATGATGAATGAATCTATATTTATCTAATGGGATGAAACACGTTTCATGGATTCTATATCTTTTCAAAGATTTACATTACTGCTGTTCAATTGTCTGAACTCTAGATTCCTTTCAATCAATTTTCAGAATTGATTCCAATTATGGTGTCATTTTACAAATAAAATCCAAGTTAAAAATATTTTCATTATTTTTCCTTTTGTCTACATAGCCTCCAGGTGGAGGATATCTCTGGAATTACGCGTGATTTACTAGTGTCTAGCTTGCATCAATGTTTATTTGCTATGCGAAATATAATTGGACATAATCTTATGCCGCTTATATGCGAAAAAATCGAATCACAATGGCCTAATGGTCAGTTGGATGCTTTAAGCTTACTCAGTGATTGTTTACATGGACAAATTCAATGTCCAAATGTCGATGATACTACTATCAATACAATATTATTCTCAGATAAGAATCCAATCGATATACGACATATCTCTCCTTATCTTGGTGTAATTATTCCTACATTAATCAAAATTGTAAGTGGTTTTCAGTGAATTTTTTCATAAACCTTTTTGGCTACGCTGGTTTTTAATCTACTATTAAATGTATGATGATTGACGTTTTCAATTAATCAGAAGAAGAAGAAGAAGAAGTCAATTTTCCGTATCATGCTGTGATATTATCTAATACATAATTAGAAGTAGTTTATTTCTGTAGGTATACAGTCTGAACTTGGCACGAACCTGTGTATTTTGACATTAATTTGGCTGATCATTTGTTAGTTTACTTCAGTTCATTGAGGTATTAAATAACTATGAGTTATCATGTAACTTGTTTAGTCTACGCATTACATCAAATTTACTCAACCGATCAAATGAAATAGTAGTTCTGAGTTGGTTATCTGTATTCGGTAAACATGATAAACTGTGCTACATTTGATTATTCCTAGCGTCCATTGTTTCACAGCTGCGCTTCATTTTTGTTTCTATTCTCTTCGTATAACTGTATACATTAACGCCAGGTAAATCATATGTTTGCTCATAACAGTAGGATTCGAATCATTCGGTTAAGCCAGATATTTGCGGTTCAGCTATAATAATTACTTTGTTCTTTCACTTGTACACTTGATATCGTTCAGTACTTCAAACAAGATGGACCGATAAGAGTTTAAGGCTTTTAAATTTGCTAATTTTACTAACTACTTAAATTCAATTAAATAGTATAATAATAAACAACTAATTATCTATCCGTTGTTTCCACTGTTCACATTTATGCAATCTTCATTTTCTATACCATTGTTTTGATTGTTGGTTACATATTCTATTACAAGAATTTAAATAAAACACTTGTGTAACCATTCTAGCCGATAATGACGATGATGATGATACAGACAAAAAAGTTGTAAATATCCACAAGATTCTTTGATATGATTTTCAAAATTCGTCATTAAGAAAGAGAGTATCGATTACAAAGTGCAATGTTGAAAGTATACACGCTGTTTATTTGCTTAGAATGGAGAATTGCTAAACATTATTTTATATTAAGGGCTAATTTGAAATTGACTTTTCACGAAAAAGTACACTTTTCAATATGTAATTCAAGTAATAGATTTCACTGAAAAATTTACAGTTTTTAGTATTACTGTGTTGACAAAAATAGTAGTTTTGTGGAACTGCTAAGAAATGAGAGTTAGGCTCATGGATTTTTTTTGTATTTTCGTGCCAAAAATATGTATTTGATTATTGACAAAATAACTAAAAATTAAATCGTGTATTTGATAAAGAAAAAAAAGTATTATTCATGCGTTCATCTATTTTTATCTCCATGATTTACTGTGTAATACATTAACTTGTAACCTATTTATAAGTAACTCAATGAACAATACAAAGGTATGAATATTCATCAAAGTTACTGAACGAATGGAATAATTGTACAACTTTATCTGTTACCCTATACAATTCAACAATAAATCAACAATATAAAGCTGTCCTCAATACATAAATTGAACAATTAATTACTGATCATTTTTATTTTAATAATAATCTATTCCATTTTAATTGGTAATAACAAAATCGATAGAATATAAAAAACCTCAATTGGTAATTAATTTCGACATAACAAAAAAACGCACAATGTTCACCTTGTTAACCCATTAAAATTCAACTATTTATCTCGTTTTCATTGTTAGAATGTGAAAGTATTGAAAGGAAAAATGTTTAGTTTTGCAGAATCATAGATGCAGTTTGACGAAAATCGATAGTTCGATTCACAATGATTAACCGGTCTGTAGGTTAGATGTTAGTTCAGAACAAGTTTGATCATAATAATAGTGACCAGTTTACTCAATATTATAAATTTAGTACAATTTGAGGTTCTCAGAACACAAGTTCTTTTTTTATCTTTTAGAGACATCACAAATGTATATATAAATAGATATTTCAAATAAAACTTTGAATATTTAACATATTGAAGTACATGAAGACTTGCTTCATTGACCCATATCGTCATATAATCATTGCCTCTGAGTATCGTCGCAGCATATAGTTTGACTAAATACATAGTACTTAAAGTTCAAACTGCCACTAACCATTAGTTTGAATAAATTGAAATTGCAATTCATTCGTAACTATGGTTTCAGTGAAGTACTGTTTAAAAATCAGGTCGATAAAGGCGTAGGCTTTAGTCATACTTTTGTTTCTTTTTAATTTTCTCTCTTATTTACCATTACTCATGAGTGTGTGTGTGTGCTTTTCTTAATGACTCATCATCCGGTTTACTTTTTTTTTTGCAAAATACACATTGTCTAGCCTTTATTGTCTTTGTCTAATTTTGTGATAGCCAATGTGAACACTTAACAAGTTGTCTAAATATTGACATACATAGATTGTATTATTATTTTTTTTGCAGGATTCTAAACACAATCAGTCTAATGTTGCATAGACTGTTCATGAATGTCTGTGAAGTAGCTTTGTGAATTATTAAGTAATAAATACATAAACCAAATAATTTGTGCCATTGTTCCTTTGGATAACTCCAATTTTATTTATCTTCAAATTTTCCATAATTAATTACACTTAATATTGTCATGATGATGATGATGATGATGATGTTTTTTTTCTCAATATTAAATTTTGAAAATATTTCTTTTTTAGGCTGATAAATATGAAAATCGAAGAGATAAAAATAATTTATACCCAATTGCATTATCTTGTATCACAGGTCTTGTTCATGCTTATTCTCTACAGGTTAGTGAGATGTCATTTAATCACTTCTATTGGTTTAGATTACTTATTTTCAAAATCAGTAGTTGGATATACTTTTTAATGATTATATTATTCATCGTCCTTTGAAATTATGAAATATATCACTAGTCCTTTATCATCATGTTCTCCTTTATCTATGATCTCTATTTTTTTTGATGTGTATAAGTGATTACAATAAATTATTGTGATCACTTATACACATCAAAAAAAATAGAGATCATAGATAAAGGAGAACATGATGATAAAGGACTAGTGATATATTTCATAATTTCAAAGGACGATGAATAATATAATCATTAAAAAGTATATCCAACTACTGATTTTGAAAATAAGTAATCTAAACCAATAGAAGTGATTAAATGACATCTCACTAACCTGTAGAGAATAAGCATGAACAAGACCTGTGATACAAGATAATGCAATTGGGTATAAATTATTTTTATCTCTTCGATTTTCATATTTATCAGCCTAAAAAAGAAATATTTTCAAAATTTAATATTGAGAAAAAAAACATCATCATCATCATCATCATCATGACAATATTAAGTGTAATTAATTATGGAAAATTTGAAGATAAATAAAATTGGAGTTATCCAAAGGAACAATGGCACAAATTATTTGGTTTATGTATTTATTACTTAATAATTCACAAAGCTACTTCACAGACATTCATGAACAGTCTATGCAACATTAGACTGATTGTGTTTAGAATCCTGCAAAAAAAATAATAATACAATCTATGTATGTCAATATTTAGACAACTTGTTAAGTGTTCACATTGGCTATCACAAAATTAGACAAAGACAATAAAGGCTAGACAATGTGTATTTTGCAAAAAAAAAAGTAAACCGGATGATGAGTCATTAAGAAAAGCACACACACACACTCATGAGTAATGGTAAATAAGAGAGAAAATTAAAAAGAAACAAAAGTATGACTAAAGCCTACGCCTTTATCGACCTGATTTTTAAACAGTACTTCACTGAAACCATAGTTACGAATGAATTGCAATTTCAATTTATTCAAACTAATGGTTAGTGGCAGTTTGAACTTTAAGTACTATGTATTTAGTCAAACTATATGCTGCGACGATACTCAGAGGCAATGATTATATGACGATATGGGTCAATGAAGCAAGTCTTCATGTACTTCAATATGTTAAATATTCAAAGTTTTATTTGAAATATCTATTTATATATACATTTGTGATGTCTCTAAAAGATAAAAAAAGAACTTGTGTTCTGAGAACCTCAAATTGTACTAAATTTATAATATTGAGTAAACTGGTCACTATTATTATGATCAAACTTGTTCTGAACTAACATCTAACCTACAGACCGGTTAATCATTGTGAATCGAACTATCGATTTTCGTCAAACTGCATCTATGATTCTGCAAAACTAAACATTTTTCCTTTCAATACTTTCACATTCTAACAATGAAAACGAGATAAATAGTTGAATTTTAATGGGTTAACAAGGTGAACATTGTGCGTTTTTTTGTTATGTCGAAATTAATTACCAATTGAGGTTTTTTATATTCTATCGATTTTGTTATTACCAATTAAAATGGAATAGATTATTATTAAAATAAAAATGATCAGTAATTAATTGTTCAATTTATGTATTGAGGACAGCTTTATATTGTTGATTTATTGTTGAATTGTATAGGGTAACAGATAAAGTTGTACAATTATTCCATTCGTTCAGTAACTTTGATGAATATTCATACCTTTGTATTGTTCATTGAGTTACTTATAAATAGGTTACAAGTTAATGTATTACACAGTAAATCATGGAGATAAAAATAGATGAACGCATGAATAATACTTTTTTTTCTTTATCAAATACACGATTTAATTTTTAGTTATTTTGTCAATAATCAAATACATATTTTTGGCACGAAAATACAAAAAAAATCCATGAGCCTAACTCTCATTTCTTAGCAGTTCCACAAAACTACTATTTTTGTCAACACAGTAATACTAAAAACTGTAAATTTTTCAGTGAAATCTATTACTTGAATTACATATTGAAAAGTGTACTTTTTCGTGAAAAGTCAATTTCAAATTAGCCCTTAATATAAAATAATGTTTAGCAATTCTCCATTCTAAGCAAATAAACAGCGTGTATACTTTCAACATTGCACTTTGTAATCGATACTCTCTTTCTTAATGACGAATTTTGAAAATCATATCAAAGAATCTTGTGGATATTTACAACTTTTTTGTCTGTATCATCATCATCGTCATTATCGGCTAGAATGGTTACACAAGTGTTTTATTTAAATTCTTGTAATAGAATATGTAACCAACAATCAAAACAATGGTATAGAAAATGAAGATTGCATAAATGTGAACAGTGGAAACAACGGATAGATAATTAGTTGTTTATTATTATACTATTTAATTGAATTTAAGTAGTTAGTAAAATTAGCAAATTTAAAAGCCTTAAACTCTTATCGGTCCATCTTGTTTGAAGTACTGAACGATATCAAGTGTACAAGTGAAAGAACAAAGTAATTATTATAGCTGAACCGCAAATATCTGGCTTAACCGAATGATTCGAATCCTACTGTTATGAGCAAACATATGATTTACCTGGCGTTAATGTATACAGTTATACGAAGAGAATAGAAACAAAAATGAAGCGCAGCTGTGAAACAATGGACGCTAGGAATAATCAAATGTAGCACAGTTTATCATGTTTACCGAATACAGATAACCAACTCAGAACTACTATTTCATTTGATCGGTTGAGTAAATTTGATGTAATGCGTAGACTAAACAAGTTACATGATAACTCATAGTTATTTAATACCTCAATGAACTGAAGTAAACTAACAAATGATCAGCCAAATTAATGTCAAAATACACAGGTTCGTGCCAAGTTCAGACTGTATACCTACAGAAATAAACTACTTCTAATTATGTATTAGATAATATCACAGCATGATACGGAAAATTGACTTCTTCTTCTTCTTCTTCTGATTAATTGAAAACGTCAATCATCATACATTTAATAGTAGATTAAAAACCAGCGTAGCCAAAAAGGTTTATGAAAAAATTCACTGAAAACCACTTACAATTTTGATTAATGTAGGAATAATTACACCAAGATAAGGAGAGATATGTCGTATATCGATTGGATTCTTATCTGAGAATAATATTGTATTGATAGTAGTATCATCGACATTTGGACATTGAATTTGTCCATGTAAACAATCACTGAGTAAGCTTAAAGCATCCAACTGACCATTAGGCCATTGTGATTCGATTTTTTCGCATATAAGCGGCATAAGATTATGTCCAATTATATTTCGCATAGCAAATAAACATTGATGCAAGCTAGACACTAGTAAATCACGCGTAATTCCAGAGATACCTCCACCTGGAGGCTATGTAGACAAAAGGAAAAATAATGAAAATATTTTTAACTTGGATTTTATTTGTAAAATGACACCATAATTGGAATCAATTCTGAAAATTGATTGAAAGGAATCTAGAGTTCAGACAATTGTAACAGCAGTAATGTAAATCTTTGAAAAGATATAGAATCCATGAAACGTGTTTCATCCCATTTAGATAAATATAGATTCATTCATCATTTGAAGCAAATTTCTATTTCTACATAAACTGAGTTTTCAATAACTTATATCACATATTAACACAAACGTTGTGTACTTTGATTGATCAATTAGTAGTGAATAATATAATATTTATTGAATCATTAATGCTGATTTAATTCTGTTGATTAGTTCTGTTAATACTTCCAGTATGCCTTGCTGATGAGTGTTTACTACGGGTATGAAATCTGGGTCAACAGTTCGATTTTTACCGATTACCTCTTTAACTACTAACATCAACTCCATTTATTGATCACTTGTAATGCCTCTGTAAACTTTATGGAGTGAATACATAAAGCTAAACATTGATTTACTTAGTAAAGTATTAAATAATCTTTACTAGTCAACATGTCATAAGAAAGTGAATTAAACACTTAGAACTTCACAAAACAAATAAATAATCCAATGTCAATGTGTTATTTACTTATTAATATTTTATACAGCATCATCATCATCAAAAAATGAATTTTCTTTGTTGAAATATTTTTTTAAAAATCCATTTTCAATGATACACAATAGACAAATTGTATTAATAATTAAAGTACAGAAATAAAACATACCGGTGAAAAGTCGATCGGAAAATAAACTGATATTGTATCGAATAATTCATCTTTAAACTGCATTACTAGTAAGAATGGATAGAAAATAAAATTAACAATAACAATTACGTATATATATCAGTATAAGGTTGTGAAGATTTTCGAGTTTTATTGAAATTATGAGGTCCACGGTTTTGGGTTCGATTCTCTCATTTGGGGTCGTGAATGTACACTGCTCAGCTGACCAATGCTGATGATGAGACTAAAAGCAGATACTCAAGGTCTGACGGCGAAGTGGTAATGTTGTTTGTAGAGATATGTTTCCCTCGGACAACTAGCATCTGCAGCGATGCTGCCATCTCACAAGGAAGGAAGGGTTAGAAAAGGTCGACCTTAAAAATGTCACACCTCTCCCTACCTCACGGATTTCCGTCTCCGGAGGTAAGGGCTTTTGAGCGAAAGCGGAGCTAATACTCTAAAAACCTCTCATAAAAAGGCCGTGCGTGACCGGCTTCAAGGTGTTGTCCCTTGGGCTCTGTGGTCACACTCCCAGGTCGTTAAGACCAACTCTAATCTACCTTCCTTTTCAGGTTCTTCAAGAAACATCCTTCCACGGTGTGGACAGGCAGCCGGGAAGTGACATCTGCCCTCATACCCGTACCAACACACGAGATCAAACTGGCCACAATCAAATTCTTTCTACGCCCCCTGACATCTCTCTTATCTCCACGTCTCACCCTTCGCACATCCCCTTTAAGTTGAAAATACGTAAACTTTGACAATCAGGTTATATTTTCATAGCTTAGAGTTAATGACCTACACAAATAAGAATCTTACAATGAGATACAATTTAATTTGTTATATTCATGTTTAGTCTGTAATGAACACTTTATATATAAGTTTATTGTTTGAAGCCAAACTCAATCATAACTGTGAGGGATTGTCATTACCATAGTAGTTGGAGTAAGGTTTGAAATAATAACCTAGTGTCTGAAAGTTGTTAATAATCTGATCTTTTGCTGTCCGTCTGTCGGAGGGTCTGAATTCGATAAATTCATCTTATGTGAGCTATTGCTTACTCGGTCAGACTAGTCAAATCGATTGAGGTGAATGGTCATACAAACACAAATCAAACAAATTTTCCTTTATTATTAAAAAATCCTACTGCACGATCCCGTACTTTTTGTTAAACAAAAAAGATTTCATTTTTCTTATGGAATATATATAAACAAACCAATTTACTTTGTAGATTGACTAGTATTCAGAACTATAACAAGTTTGTCATTCGTAAGAAGCGACATGGAATCACACTGTCATACTCATAATGAATTATTGAATTTATGAGTCAACTATTGTTAGTCAATCATTAAAAACCTGAAAGCATTGAATGGCCGTCTCCTCCTAATATGGGACACATCAGCAGTGCACATTTACGACCCCCACTAGTGGGAATCGAACCCTGGACCTTTGGTTTCGCACGTGAACGCTTAACCTTTATACTATTGACCCGGCATCCAACGGTGTCTCATACTAAGATGAAACGGTCGTCTAGTGTTTCTAGGTTTGTAATGGTGGTCAAACAATGATCGATTTATGATTTCAATGAAATTCAACAACATTTACAACTTTATAATAAAAATCATAAATGATTTGTCTAATAATTACTGGCCTGACACAATTAATGTGCAGCGATAGCGAATTCAAGTAAATTAAGTCAGTTAGTCAGTCAGTTACAACGTAAAACTTCGCACGTACATACGCACAGCAGTTCAAAGTGACGAATCACATTAGCACAGAGATGCAATTGTCAAACAGAATCCCACAGTAGTAAAGGTATTTGTTGGGGATGTTAGATCCCCAAAATTCGCTTGATAATGCCGTATTTTGGTTTTCACGTTTTGCCAGCATGGGCTGATCAGATGACCTAGAGATTTCAATTCCCACCAGGAAAATCCATGGATGTGATTGGCTGCTGTGTATTTTGGTTTGCTATTTTCTTAACTATCTCAAGGACGTTTCTATGATGTATAAATAAACGAGAGTTGTATGCTTGATTGTACTATGATTGCTGGGTGTTTGTAGAATATACTTTCTACGCTTACAAAGCCTTTCACTTCAGCCTCGGATTCAAGGTAGCCTCCCTGGAAGCTAGTGAAAGTCTCGTTCGCGTTTATCGACTAAGGTAAACTCGTAATAGCCTCAAGCATACTAAGTGACGAACTTATCAGTATTAAGAGTGAATTGAACACAATTACAATTCAGCTGTGATTGAAGTTAAAATTTGTACTCACACATACAAATAAAAAACGAATATTATCATACAAAATAAATTATTGAATAATTAATTGAGTAAATTTGACTATTTACCTGAAGGAAACTCTTTAATAAGAATGATATTCATTTGAAAAATCAGATGTAAAATTTGTGGATCTTTTTCTTCATCAATAGCAATTAAATAATTTTGAATAAATGTAGAATTCATTGACTGAATACCTACAAATACACCATAGAGAGAATGTAAAAATTGAATGTACAACTAGCATTAGATATGAAGTGAATGAATTTTTATTAGCTTGATTGCATACAATGTAGTTTTGTGGTAATCATAAAACACTGGTATTATTCAAGTGAAGTTTTAACATGAATATTGATTTTAGGCATTAGTTATCTCACTAAACCTTAGTATATGCCATTAAACACTTGTATAACACCATAAAGGTTGATTTGATCTCAACCAAATATTTCGCAATGAAAGAAGGTACTTGTCTATTTTGTGATCTCATTTGACCATTAGAACTCGTCCGTTTTCGTAGCCAATTAAAAGTGTGTTCGGTTACTATTACGATTAGACGTAAGGGGATATTGGGTTTAGGAATTTTTGGGCATTTCAATTCTATCCGTGTGTTGGTTACCTTTGTAAAATATTATAAAACAACTGAAAAAAGTATTGACTTCTATTCAAAACTAAATTTGTAAGTATTTTTTGAAAGATTCATTGAAATTAACTAATTAATCGCTGAATGAATATTATTAATAAAAACAAAGACAATGTAACCCTTTGATATTAACACTTTGTTTACGAACGTATCTCTTGAGAAGACAATTGATATTTCGTATGATCAAATCTCTTCCATAGCTATTTCCTGTAAAAGTTCTTCAAGATTTATCATTATTATTATGAGCTGACGACGTGAAAATTACTTATGAAGAGGAGCATTTTCGACAGATTGATGGTGTTTCATTGGTCAATCCTTTATGAGCACTGCTGGTATAAGTCAACCTTTGTGGTGTTGTACAAGTGTTTAATGGCGTATACTAACGTTTATTGAAGTTTTCGGTATTATTATTTGATTGAAATACATAAACATCTTTACAAAGAATCATCGAGATCATTAAATTTGTGTGTGGGCTGGGATTCTACCCCGGTGTCCAAATTGAAACAGCTGGTTTTCTTATGAGGTCGCCTTCCCTTGGCTATACGGAAATTGAAGCACTTTGTACTTAAAAATAATTTGTCATTACTTTTAACTCATATTGGTAATGCTGATTAGTTAAGAATATTCATAATAATTTTAATAAAGTTATCTATTAACAACAAGCTAACTGATAGTATTTTTAGTTGGATATTAACGATGATAAGATTGTCTCAAGAGATAATTATTTTTCAACTAACTTTTGCTGGGTTTCAACTCCTGAATTACAGATTTGAACTCACCTTCGAACCCTAAACTTTCTGATTACCGCTAATACTTCTAATACATCTCCTACTATGGGGGTTGAATTGACAATTCGATCTCTCTGTGCTAATATGGTATGGTATATTGGACTGATGTACGTACGTATGAAGTTCTACATTGCAGCTGAATAATGAAATGTATTCGGCTGACAGACTAATGATACATGACTATCCACTGGTTACTGGTTTCCATTAACTTATTACTTTTGTTATGAAAGAAAATAATTGAAACGATTTTCTTAATAATGTTAACTTGATAGCCCATTTCATTAGCCAACGGATTTGTTTTGCGACAGTTTACGGGCTTAAGTATGCATGAAACCTTGGAGAAAATCAGAGATCAGATTATTAGACATGAATAAGAATAAGTACTTAAATCTGTCTAATTATTTTCAGTAGTCATGATGTTAAATGATTTAAAATTATTTATTTATTTATCACGAAAATTGTTGACTGAGTGGAGATTAATAAGCCGGCTGCTTCGAGCTGCACTGTAGGTACAGTCAGTCAGTCAACAGCAACACAGTACTTAGTACGTACGTACATCATTTCAAATTGCCATACCACATTAGCACAGAGACACGCAATTGTCACTTCAAATCCCATAGTAGTATAGGTAGTAGAATTATTAGCAGTAATCCGAACTTACAGGGTTCGATGATATTATTCAAGAAGTAGTATCTAGTGAAATAAACTTAAAAAGAAAAAGACAAAGGTGATAAGGAATTCAAATGATTAGGATTTGCGAGAACACAAAGAAAAACAGAACTTACCACTTAATTGGGATCCAGTTAAAAAACAATGTAACAATTGGAAAACTTTCAACCGTCCAGATTTAATTAAATTCTGTATGGTCAAATGACCAAATATTCCATGCTGAACAATCTGTTTAGCTTGTGTTGCATTAATCATACTACAGTCATTAGACCATGTAGATTTTGTTAACCATATAAATCCATCAAGAATCAAATCTGTAATAGTTGGATCAGCAAGTGATAAACGATCCGACAAAAAGCCAACAAGGTGATCAACTAGATTGTAATGAGAAGAAAGAAATTGGTATGAATGATAACATTACAGCAACAAGAAAATGTATCAGGTAAACACTTCTTTCTTCTTCTGCTTCTTCAGACAACTCTATATGAAGGGGTGTGAGAAAGGTGAGTCGTAGAGATAAGAGAGATATGTTAGGCGGTGTAGGAAGGACTTGATTGTGACCAATTCGGTCTCGTGTGCTGTTACGGGTATGAGCGCGGAAATCACTTCCAGGCTGCCTACACTATGGAAGGGTATATGAAGTCTATGTTGCAAAAAAGGTGTTATTCAAGATAGATACAGATAATATCAAGTCAATTTTAGAAATTAAGATAACTGAGAAGTCAAACGGTTATTTTTATTATGGTATACGTTGAGACAGTGTGTCAAGAGGTTGTGTAATAATTAGGATGTATTCTATTTATTATGAGACCTGAGGGTAGTAAGTTTGATGCTTAGCAACGTCTTAAATGGGCACTATATGGAGAATTTGAAAAACTAAGACAAGGCAGTTTTTCTATCTCTTTTAGTTTACGATGATTTTTCAATATGTACCACACACAGAACTTTATGTTTGGTATAAGGTGGCGTGAAATTCAATGACCTACTATTAATCTTAAAACTTGACTACTTAAGAAAAAGTAGTAACCAAATCATGTATGACATGCAACTCATTGGTTGATCACTATTTGCCTAAACAGAAAATCAATTTCAACTAAATATACCATCAAAGTTTTAACGTCTGACAAGGCATAACCATATATCTTTTTCTTATTTTATTACATAAAGATTTATATCAGTTACAAACCTACAGTTAAAGTGGTGGAACCAATAAAAACCAATTAACATTTAAGTCGGGTAATAAGAAAATCATCTGTTTAATATAACCGAAACAAATAAAAATCACATCGAATGACGAAAAAAAGAAGTTGTTGACTTTGAATAAACTAATAAAATGAGAATAGAGAAGCTAGACAACAGAGCAACAATTACTCAACAAAAATAAACAAACGTCAAAAATTATATAGTTTATGATTGCACAGTTATTTCTTCAAGCAAAACATCATGTTACAAACAGATAATTATACTTACTCTCTTTGGATGTAATATTTGAAGGTGAAATATTTTTTATGCCTGTGATGAGAGTTTCTATAGAATCTTTTTGTGATGTAATTTTTGTATCTGTTAATCCTGATCTATATTAATTATAAAGGTGTAAGTGAGAAAAAATTCATTGGTCAAGTGAATTGAGAAAATGAATGTAAGCAAATTACTACTCAATTAACCTACGATTGACAGAATGTTTTGTTAACATTCACTCTACATAAAGAATCATGTGACATAGTTTGTGTGTAATGAAGTTGCAACATTTAAGCTATTGTAAATAATGGGGAAGAGACTAAGTCGTTTTCAAAACGAGAAACGTGTGAAAACCGTCCAACAACCTTGGCTGTAAGCTATGTTTATTATGTAACTACTATATATTTTATCCAACAGTTTAAAAATAAGGTTACGTACAGTTCAAAGTTGAGACCTATAAGACGTTGAATCGCCTTATGTTGTTGCATTTTTAAAGTTGTTATGCATGGTAGGTATCCAGTCAATCACAACGTCAAACTTCGTACGTACGTACATTAGTTCAAGTTGCAATACCACATTAGCACAGAGACGCGATTGTCAGTTCAAACCCCCTGGTTGTAGAGATAGTAGAAGCATAAGCAGCAATCAAAAAGATTTATGATCTAATATATCATTCGAGATGTATACTCCAGAAGAATCAATTAAAAAAGGAGAGAAAAACTGCCATCAGGAGTTCAGAATTTTTGGATTCCAGATAACACAAAGAATGAATGCACCTGCGCCATTGCAAACGATTCTGAGCCATGTCATTCAGGGTCTCTAACCAACGATTACTATGATCTCATGGACCCCAACCAGGTAGTCTACACCAACTAACATAGCTCAGTCCATTTGTCAGTGACTTCATAGATGTGTGCCATCTTTTGGTCTAGCCGCCCCTAGCACTTTTCCAACTACTCCTACACCACAAAACATTGTTCGTCGAGGCAGTCAGTGGTTGGGCATTCATAACACGTCCCAACCACCTCAACTGATGAAGTTTCACTACTTCATCTATTGATCTGCCACCCTTACCTAGTACCCATTTCCTAACAACTGCATTGCTTACTCGGTTGACCCAAGATAAACGAGCAATGTTTCGGAGACACCTATGGTACGGTAGGTATATTTTTCTGTCTATTATGTATAACGTTTGTATTTTGGATGTATACAGTCAATGCACTGGATTTATTACATACAGAACTATTAAATAATACTTAAGATGAGATGGATGAAACGGAAGAAGTTAACAAAAGATGCTGAGCAAGAAGGAATAAAAAAAACCCATGAACACAAAAAGTGTTAGATGAAAGTTATGGATACTGGTTTAAGTAATGAAAATAAAGATATCCATAATTAAGAAATTAGAACGTATTTTATAAATTTTTTTCCACATCTGCTATTGAATAATCTATTTTTCTATAAGTTATAGGTGTCCACAAATTCACACACATTTATTACACCAGTACAGCGAGATACTCGAGTAATATAAACAATAGCAGTATTAGTGGTAGGGGAAAAGATTAGACTTGGAAGATATAAATCGGGTAAAATAAAGCATTTATAAAATAACTGCTAAAGATACGATCTGTAGGAAGAAAGAGTCAATGCACCTGCGCTATTGTAGGTGATTTTAGGTTAAGTTAACTACAGTTTCTAATAATTGATTTCGATAATCGCGTGGACTTCAGTCAGTTGGTCTACCACCACTAACATGCATCAGTCTGTCACTTTACGGACTGCTATATTTTCTTTTGGATAATCCTAGTTTTCTTCCACCCTTAGCTATCACTGTACGTCAGGGCAGGCAGTAGTTAAGCATACATAATTCAGGTCCCCAACTATCTGGAATGGAATCACATGTTAAGGTAAAGCTTCTATAAATTCTTGACTTTCGTACATACATATTGAAACGATTAATTATAAAAATTAGAAACTATTAGTCACCAGAGAAATGACAGTGTATATGATTTAGAAGATGCTCACCATATAGTCATTTTTATTATCTGATAACCTATTACTATTTAGTGGCAAAATATCAACTTTTGCTTGAAGATGATCGCCTTGAGAAATTTTATCTAAAACTGTAGAGATGAAAACCGGTTTTCGGGCGAGGCGAAGCTATTCATTCAGTGTGTGATGAGTTGTTGGCGTTTTTTTAAGAGCAGTATATAAAACATTTTATCATTAAGATGATACAGTAAAAGGCATTTACGTGTCATTTTTTGTAGTGTTACCTCCTCTAACATAAAGTAGAGAAAAAATTCAATGACAACAAAATTAGAGAAATAAGTTATGTTGTTCAATTAATAATTTTGTTGAGAATTAACAAATAGTTCATGATTATTTTACTTCTAATATTATTCTATTAGTTGAATGGTTGTGTAAGATATTTTGTGGTACTTCAAAAACTGTTAACAGTTATAGAGTAAGATGATGAGACAATACTTTGGTTTAAGGTTTAGAGCAATTCTTTCAGTGATACTGAAGACAAGCTATTGTATATTGATGCTTTTCCATAGTATCAAGTACAATATTGAAGTCAACTGTTTTCAGATAGAACTATATCCTTGTTTTTTGTAATGAAAAACATTTGAGCATCAGTTGTTTGTCATCTGATTCGCCAATAAGTTAAGTAGCCTGGTAATTACTGATATTTAATTTTATCTAAGTACAATTTTGGGTACAAAAGGGGAACCTAAGTATTGATGCGCTACACAAATCATTGAGTTTGTGTGGCGACTGGGGTACTGTTAGGTTCCCATACTGGAACAGGTGGTTGTTAGGAGGCCACTCCTCGGGCTCTTGACCTATAGGTTTACTGCCCAAGGCAGTCGAGCAATGTTAGGAGATGCGGTCCCATGGTGGTAGCCGGTGACCAACAATAGATTCTGAAACCACTCGTTTCATCAGGATTCTGAAGCCCTTGTGCAAAGTCGGTTTGGAATCAAGGTTTTTTAATTCCCCTCGATGGATTCTCCATACCCAACGACCCGGTTTAAGCCTCTACTGGACATTCACTTTTGACTTTAATTTGGTAAATAAACCTGCACCACCAGAAGGCAGTGAGTAGGACTTTCCGAACAGTGAGTATATACATGTAGCCATTTAAGAGCATTTCAAGGAGAGCTGAATTTCCCCACTCTGGACCGTACGGGGATACATTTGGCGATACATTTGTAATCCACTTGATTCATACAGTGCAGCACTACTGTCCATTTTCGCACCGGGTTATGATAGGTGTATATCGCATAAACTTGAACCTTCTAATATAGTCGAAAAAAGTGAAAGTGAACGGACTGTTAAGATTCAGATTTCCTTCCTTACAATCAGGTATATCCTTTTAAGTGTAAGCCACACTTCAAGTATTAAGGTTAGTGATACTACCTGGCTATTCGAAATTAAGTAAGTGATATACGGGTTGGAAGTGGGGCATCTCAAACATTAAGTCACTGCTCCATCGAGCCAGGGTAGGTTGGTCGATGATGAGCATTTGAAATATTCATAAGAAACTGGAAAATTCATCGTTATTAATTGCTAGAAGATATCGAAAACAAGGTGAATACTAGTAAAATTGAAGCTCAAATCTGTGAGAAAACCACCTGGAAACAAGTATGACCAACAAAAAATTATAAACAGGTTATACGAATGTATCAACATTGCAAAAAATATCTTGCAGTCATATATTTATGCATGAACCAAATGACTCACTCAAGAGACTGAATTAAATCAAGTAATGACTCCATCTGAAAGTTTATAATCAAAAATAAAACAAATATCATCAGCTAAATAATTGAACAGATGGAAGATATTTAGTAAGTAAACAATTTCCAGTTAGTAGACAAAAATATTTTGAACATATTGTATTATTTGTTTACCGATTTAAGGAAAATCTATCAGTAGTACATCCTGCTACTCAGATCTTTTGAATAATAATGTTTTTCCGTGCAAAATTCTTAAAATAAACCAGTTATTGCATATTCATTAGGTGTGGTATTAGTCCACACTGAGTATATATATATATATATATATATATATATATATATATATTATACTTAATTTAGCTGCTACAAAACCCTCTCTTCATAACTCTTCTTAATTCTACTGTTAAAGGGCTAGTCAAGCACATCCCCTTTAATGGAAAGAGTAAACAAAATCTTTCCTCATTTACTGATTTCAAAAGGTTTTCTAGAGCCGATTTTGTGGTAGATATTTTCACGAACTGTTTGTGTACATGTTTGATGCTGCTATTATCACGCTGTATGTACAAACATCCCTGACCCAAAATACAAAACATGAAATGGGCTTCTTCAAGTATTGAAGAGGGACGAAAGAAAAATGAGTTTGTTGATCTCGTGATTTTTAATAGGTAATTGAACAACAGATACTAAAATATGTTCCTTTTGATAGTGAAGAAGACGTCTATTTTTTCTGTCTGAAAATCAAGCTTTGTCTGGATTGCGGTTTCACCGCATGCTTTAAACCAGCATTACTAATACACGTCTAATAAGTCCGCATGGAGCACTTCTAAGGTTATTGCCAGGTCTAAGCCGTTTGGTTTGATTGACTTTTAGATCTCTGAATAACTCCTGGACAGTGTAGTTGACAGATATTAATTAGTCACTTCATCTTAACACTTTACCGTTTATACCCGAATACAGGAGGAGGGTTGGGCATAGGGTTAGTGACCCCATCACGTGGAAAACCAACTCGCTAAAAAAGGGCCAAGCAGAATAAGTAATTCAAACCATTTAAACGCTCCCCTGGCAGTACGAAGATTTTCCTTCGGAGTTATGATGTCTCATGGTGAAAGCCTATTTTTTCAGAAGATATGAAGCAGCTGCCCCCTCTGACAAACAGAGCAACCACTAATTCAAGTACATGGAGTGTTCGAAAAATGTGGGAGACCGGAATACTCATCCAGGTTGCTGCAGAAATGAGAAGATACAAACTGGAGGTACTTGGAATAAGTGAAACTTATTGGAGACAGGTTGGACAAAAAATACTAGCTTCAGGATAGATACTCTTATACTCCGTTAATAAAGAAGAAAATGCTTCACATACACAAGGAGTTGCACTAATGCTGACCAAACAAGCACGAAAAGCACTGATAAGATGGGAATCTCATGGATCCAGGATCATCAAAGCATGCTTTAAAACGAAGGAAGAGGGGGTTACAATTAATACCATTCAGTGCCATGCGCCCACCAACGATAACAATGAGGATATTAAAGATCAATTCTACAACACGCTGTAGTCAATCATCGAGAAATGTCCAACCAAGGGGTTGGCCATCAGCCCCATACAGTAGAATTGTCTTGACATTGGTGCTTGTTGATAGTTGTTTTGAGTTCCAGATGTTGTTCAATTGTCGAAATGCAGCCCTTCCCCTATTCGCGCCTTCACATCTGAATCAGATCCACTCTACTCTTCAAAGATCCTGCCCAGATATGTAAGGGTTTCTACATCTTCCAAAGCGTCTCCATAAAGTGTGATTTGGTTAGTGCATGCTGTGTTGCATCAGAGTTTGTTTTTCCCTTTGTGTATGTTGAGACCTATTGCTACTGAGGCTGCTGCTACACTGGTCGTCTTCTCTTGCACTTGTTGTGTAGGGGTAAAGAAGAGCCAGATATTCTGCGAAGTCCAGATCGTCCACTTGCATCCTGGCTGTCCACTGTATACCGTGCTTCCCTCCACATACTCCCATCTTCATAATCCAGTCGACCAACAGGTGAAGGAGAAAGAGTGCGAGTAAGTAACTTTGCCTGACACCGGTCTTCACCTCGAACGAGTTTGTCAGCTGCCCTCCGTGCACGATTTTGCAGTTTAGTCCATCATGTTGACTATCTTCTAAGGCACGCCGTAGTGTCGAAGAAGCCCCCATAGTGTTATCTTGTCTAGCCTGTTGATCTCGAAGTTGGGCGTCTACGAAGTCCTTCAATCTATTTAACTTGCAGGTCTAGTTACATGTTACCGAGCACAAGCTAAATCATTCACCAAGATTATCTATTTCTATGTTAGACGAAAATTCAATGAACGATGGACAGTTTATTGAGACTTGTCAAGATCAGAGACAACTAACTTACATCACTCGATTACACATCATGGACAGGTGCATTTGGTAGCAGTTGTGACCTATATCCGTTTAATGAATGCTGTTTCACCAGTACAGATACAACAAAGAGCGGACTCATATTTTATCATCTGGAATACTATAAAACGTCGGGAATTTCCAATGAAGACATCATGACTACGCAGTGTTTGTCATCTTTATTGTCTGGAAATTATTATGCGAGGATTCTAAAGTCAGTCAAACTAGAATTCCAGAATGAATGTATGATAGGACATAAGTGAAACACGGTTCACATGTCAAAGTGTATGCAATCTAAACTGGCCAGCTGTCGTAAGAGAAGCGCAGAACGTGCATTCGAATTTAGTTTGATGAGAATACTTAAACAAACGCCTTCAGCGCGGAATGTTCCAAGTAAAACCATAGAGACTAACAAAAACTTGAAAACTATTTATTTTATGGGTTTATTCACCACTACAGCTAAATCCTCACCAGCAGAATGGCGATGACCCTGTGACGTGACCAGCCAGAAGTTTAAACTTAACAACCCTGCTTTTGGTAAACACAATTCTCGTCTTTATTCAGACCTAAGGAGTCATTTGGTCAGTGATGTAAATGTAGGAACCAATATCTTAGTTTTTCAACGTCTTTATTCCTCCATACTTTCTAGTCATGCCGAGCCAACATTAAAATGTCTCTACGTATCTCGACATTTGGTTTGATTGACTTTTAGATCTCTGAATAACTCCTGGACAGTGTAGTCGACAGATATTAAGTAGTCACTTCATCTTAACACTTTACGGTTTATACCTAACATCGAAGACAGAGTAAACAGCTGGATACCTTTAGTATAAACAACATTATTTGACAGCTCTCATAATTGAAATTTCTTGACGACTATAGTCAAAAGACGAATTATTTATTTGTGCACTGAAAGCCCGAATCCTGGTAAAAGTCAACTACAAATAACATGCCGAGGTTTTTTTGAGGGGCTGTGGTCAGCCGATAAGCATTAATTACAACTTGAAACGAGAACTAGAAAACCCAAACCTCTGTACGCTACTTTTAGAACATTATTTTTACAGATTATTGGAATTGATATGAGGTAACATCCTTAGTTTATAACTCAGTTTCCCGAATTTTAGAAAAGCATTATCGATTTTGTTGAAAACTTAATAATACACTTCGGGGTTTGCAACTGAAAAGCTACAAAAGCTATTTTTCCCGAAAATAATTAGAAGTCTCAGAATCTCCAAAAGGTCTAATGCAGAACACGAATTTTAAACGACTTCGGGACAGCGATTGCAAGTAATGGTAGGAAGTAAACTCGTATTTGTTCGCTTACAAGAACAAAACTTAGTATGGATGATAATTAGTCCGATTTCAATAGTAACAGACTTCTCATACTCATACCCAGGCATTCTAGAACCGAAAATTGTAAATTATATGGATTAAAATTTTGTCGAAATGGTACCATTTCAAGAGAATTAAGTTTAGTCAAGAAGCATTATCTTCCTGACTATAAAACGCTGTTATATACCACTATTTTCTCACGTTATAATAAAACTTCTTTCATACTACATAAGATTATTCTTTCAATGGGTTTAAGATGAAAATGGCAATCTAACACGTGTTCATGAGAAAACCTTACCGTAGTAACTTAGAACAAACAGCCGCTTTCAGTCAGCTCAAGGTTACACTCAAGATCTAATATACAATATCATTCTCACAACCTAGTATTAACCGATTGAAACATTTTGCGCTCGATTCTTTTTCTTCCGGTACGGTTACAGGTGTTTGCCAGTGTAAAATGAATGGTGGTCTAGCCACTGGACTGCACTAAATCTAGTGGGTTGGTATTTGTTTGAGTTTGTATGTACCGTGAGTTGAATGAGTACGTTTATCTCAGAGCAGTGCACTATATTTACCTTGAGACTTATATGACTTATACCTCATCCTACGCAACAATACAAAACTGTAGTATTTGTATTATTAATATTGAATTCCATATATGTACCGCATTTGAAACCTTACTCTATCAGGTGCTGGTTTCGTTTTCTTTCGACATCACCACAACAGTTTTGTGCCAGAGTCATAAAACCTGGTCAGTAATCAGCTTTTAAAATACTATTCATAAAATAATATATTAGCTTCTGTGACTGAAAAATGAAGAGTTGGATTGTTGTTCCCGCATAAACTGTCTTCTGTTCTAAGGTATACACCTGAAGTTTCTGCTGACTTAAGGCGAAATTCTCAATATTTTTATTAAAATTTCTCGCTGGTTTCGAAGACTGATATTGCTGAGTGTAACTCATTGTTAGACATCGTAAGCCACAATCGCTCATATAGAATATGGGATGTCAGTTTAAATATTCATTTGTTTTGTATGTTTTTGGTGGTTAATATATCCCCAAATCAAGTGATGTTGTGAGTTTTTGACATTATACTAACTTCACTAGACCTAATAGGTAAATGGGCTGCTGGCGCTCGGTGATGTACCCACATGCGGTAATCGTTGGGTACGCCGTGCTAGACATCCTTCATAGCAACAATTTAGCTTGGATAATACTCTAATCCCCAATTCTGGTTTGACTGGCTTCAGTACTCTTCATTATAAACGTTTTTGAACAGCAGTATTGTAGTGGAATACTTCTACGAAGAAAACGCAATTGGTAAAAAGGTGTGGCGGACCAAACGATATATTATTTGAAAATATTAACAAAGTCATTGAATACAAACAGATGTGTCTCTTAACCGTTTGCGGGGAAGGTGCACGGTTTTGTTCAGCGGCGAGCTTTCTCACCGTACTTCTGGTGATACCAACAAATACCAGTTGCCCTTTTCGGAGACTTGGAGCGGTGTCGGGAGCATGACCTTCCCCTAGAGAAAAGTGTAGTTGGTCTAGTGCTAATCATTGCTACCAAGGCTCGTAACGTTTCTATCTGGTTCGTAAGTTGCGTTATCTGTTGTTGAAGATTAAGAACGTTACACATATTATCTATGCTGGCGGTCTGTACAGAATTAACTCCCTGGCTGTCAGGATAAATTTCCGTTATTCTGTCAGCCATATCAGCTAAATACGTTAGGTTGACTGAATTTATGGTTACTGTAAGAATCTGTCTTACATTATGTGGTAGCCGATGAAACCAAAGTTCTTTGAGTAAGTTTTCGTCTAATTTATACGGTTCTGACAGTTCTTTCATGTATCTTAATAACTGTGATAGTTTTTTGTCTCCCAATTCACATGACGTTAACAGTTGTTGTAACCTTTTTTCATCGGATGCTGAAGTTCGCTGAATTAAAGCAGCTTTAATTTTGTCATATGGGTCACTCTCAGGTACTTGTTCAATCAGGTCTCTAACTTTAGCAGTTATGTCTAAGGGTAGTGCACTAACAACATACGCGTATTTGGTCGTTTGAGCGCATATATTTCTGGCTATGAATAAAGCTTCAATTTGGAAGAACCACATCCTAGGATTACTAATACCATATGCAGGGAGCTTAAAATCTGAGATAGCGTTGATGTAACTTAGAACTTTATCATCAGATTGTGGTGTGGTAAAAGTATTTGCTGGAGGAGAATCCATTCTCAGTAGGTTAGTGTAGGTAAAACCGTATTTCATAGAAACAAAACGTGTAAGCCGGAAATGTCAATAAAAAAACTATTGTAGTACAACAAATAGCATAAACGTGGGCTCAACAATTAATTGTGGCGGACCAAACGATATATTATTTGAAAATATTAACAAAGTCATTGAAATATATCAGTTAAATGTAATAAACACAATAAATATGTAAGGACGTTACTTTATACGGCTGCTTGTACGTGTTCGGTTGTGTTCGGTACCATAACTCTACAATTATAGAAATGTTAGTAATCTAAATGATGTACATATCCGTAAAGTAGCATATACGTATGACTGCAGTCTATAAACGTAGACAATATACGTATTAGGATCCAATTATCGTATTAATGAACAATTGAGAACATGAGACGTGTGTATAAAGTGTATTTGATAGGATCAGGCAGTGAGTGCCGTGCTATGTGTACACAGAACGGAAACGTGGAGCAGTTGAATCGCCTGATATTTTCAAGGACACACACTTAAACAGAATGTACAACAACTTCTTAGTGAATGTACAGGCTGTGAAAATTAACAGAATAGTACCAAAAACTATTTACAAAATAAGTTTGTCATGCCATCTCCATAAAGGAAACATTAATTATCGTACTCCTTTCGTTTAACTTTACTAAAAAACACTTATACTCAGCTTCCTGTTTCTGAGGTGTTGTCATCATTCATAACTTGGCGCTCGTTAAGTGGCTCTCTTTCTACTTCGAATATATTCTTTACCCCGGATTTACTTTTTATCAGCGTGACGGGCTAGTAATTAGTAATTAGTATTCAGTGGTGATCATAGTCAATCTGGACTCGGTCACCATTAAATTATCATCAAAAAATGAATATCCATGACATTTTGAAAACAATCAGAATTATAACTAGTACTGTTTTTAAACAGAATTAATAAACTTCCCACCATCTTCCCCAAACTCAAACGACGTTTAGCAGATAGTCAACAGAACTTGATATGTTCATATAGATATAGGATAAACCTGTAAGTAAGGGAAGGTCGGGCTTCACTACAATCAGACAAATAGTTCGAGCACGCCTGTGGCCTCGCTGATTTTCCTTTATTTAGGGGAAAAAATCCATATTCGGAATACTTTATCACCTCCGAAGCAATAAAAAGTTGTCTCCATTCATTGGTCGTCATTCTGAAAACAAATCCGAGCGAACGAAATTATTCCAAGTCAGAACCATTGTGCGGTGTGTCCAGCTGCCTAATTCAGCTGCTATTTTTCTAGTCTGTGAACGAGAAGAAGGGGAATAGTAACACCCTAACTCACAAGCGGATACCACACAAGGACTGGGGCAACAGATTTTTTTATTTAATGTCCAATTATCGGAAGGAAGCTTGCTAGGACTTAGGGCTGCCTTCGACAAAGAGCAGTGGGATAAACACTGCAAACCCTTGTAATGTACAACGTCCCAGCCAAAATATGCCGCCTTTTCAAGGGCCAAAATGTCTTGAAAGGAAAACCCCCTTCAATGAGGGTAACGCCTGACGCGGCACAACTTGCTGAAGACATCATCCTTTCATCCCAAAGACCATCGGTCGAATGGTCCTCGCCTGATGGCTGTGACATTTAGGAACCGGGGAGACGTGACTAAAGCACTCCAAGCTTGGTACAGTTCGAGGAACGATCTGTCTAGCCACACCAGGTGTTGCAAAAGCCGACCTAGATCTGAAAGACCACAGCAAGGAGGCCACAATGAACGCACAAAACTGACAGTTGGCCTCGATCAACAACCCCTGGCACAAGACACGATTGCACTCACTGCACAGCCGAAAAACCTGCAGGGGCCAGTTCCCACAGAACTGACTAACTCGATTTGAATAACGTGTTTGAAAATCCGACAACGGCTGCTGCTGCAAATGTGCACCAGGTGCTGTGACAATCCACCAAGTGCCTCTATAGCAACGTGAGAGGACTAAGGGGTAAGCTGTTAGAAATCTCAAATGAATCTGAAGATCATAATCCTAACTGAAACATGGCTATCCCCTGACACTGAAGACGAAGAAGTGAGCTTGCCAGACATGACACTCTTCCAAAGCGATAGGGTACACCAAACTGGAGGCGGAGTGGCTATATGTATAAACAGCCACTTAAGAGCCGAGTGGCTATACGACACCCAAATAACTGAGGTGACAGAATCATGTTGGTGTTGTTTCCACACAAATGGCACGAAATACTTGATTGGAGAGATTTACCGACCTCCCTCAGGTACAAAGGCCTGTTAAAGCAAACTGACTGAGGTAATACTACAACTGAAACTCCTGGGGTTTGATCAAATACTCTTAGCTGGAGATTTCAATACTCCATCACTAAATCTCAGCAATCAGAGTATAACTACCACTGGTTGGTTCCGAAGACAACTTGGTATAGCCATAGAAGCTCTGGGCTGACTGAGCACGTATGCAGTGCCACTAGATGGACTAAAGAAAGAAAGTCCCCAAACCTGGATTATCTGCTGACAAATGACCAACTCCTGATTGAGGATGTTCACGTGCATACAGTAATAGGTAGTATTGACTATGGCACAGTCTTGTTTAACATGCTCATAAACGAAACACTCACACGGGACGAAAACAAGCCTTACCTTTGCCACACTAGGGCAAAATATACACGAATGAGAGAGGTCCTCCTACATGCCCCATTTCCACGGGAATGGTGGAGGCTGACAGTAGATGATCACTGGCAAACAGTGAGAGATATCACCCAAAACGCCGTAGTAGACAATGTACCTCAGTCACACCGCACACCTGGGAATAGCAGAACTTGGGTTAGACGCGGTACTAAACGCTAGCTACATGCGAAGAGGAGAGCGTGGCACAAGTGGAAGGTCTCTTCGAAGGATTCTGATAGTAGCTCTTACTTGGCATTAAGAAACATGCAATACCAAAGTTCGAAGTGATAGGAGACAATTTCAGATGGAGCTAGCTGTCAAAATACAAACGGACCCGAAGCATCCGTTTAGGTTCATGTCCAAAAGAAAACCTACAAATCAAGGGTTGTGTTCTCTAGAACGACCGGATGGGGAAGACCT